TTTCATTCCACTGACCTAATTTAACAAGAAGGAAATTCAATAACAACTGCTAACATTGAAGATTTATTTCCCTAGAGAAAATTAACAACACTTCAACATCAAATGGGTATAGGTGGAGGGTGGAATATATATGCCTGTGAAGCAAGGAGAATGGAAACAGAGCTGTGAAAAAAGTTGTTCTCTTTCACAGACAGTGAAAAAACCATCTCATTTTGATAGGAATGGGAAAAATAATCACTAAGTTCCTTTTTTTCCTTTAGACTGAACATAATAAAACACCTCAGAGAATTTTGAAGCCTTGTAAGATCCACTACCTCCATCCAACTCTGAAACAAAAAATATTATTTTTCTTCTTAAAGTCTGTAATTTGTCCAAAATACCTGTAATCCTTTCCTTTTCATAAAAACACATGCACACAAAGCAAGCACACAAAATAATTGAGTGGTTGCAAAGAAACATGCAAACACCTCTTCCATTGCTCCAAATGCATAAATAAAGCAGGAGCAGTCATCCTACTTCGGGGCAATTTGTGCAAAAAATATCTTTTTTTTTTTCATTCTTGCACATAAGAATCCTTTTTCCTATATACTGTATGTACATAACAAAATTCACATATATGTGTATATATCCTGAAAAGGAAATGCTTCTGAGAAAGAAAATCTTAGTTCCACATAATAGCTTAATCCCTGCACAAAGCTCCGGGAGGCAGTGGAAGACAGGACGGCCTGGCGTGCTCTGGTCCATGGGGTCACGAAGAGTTGGACATGACTAAATGACTAAACAACAACTGCACAAAACTAGATTGCATGGCTAATTGTTGATGTGTGCCCACCTGCACCCCTCCGTGTCATGTGCCTGGCAGACACTTAGTACCTTATCTGTTATCTATATTTATTCATAGCAACCTAGATAACTTCCCCTGAGAATGTGTAAATTATCCAGTTGGATGTTGGCTACTTTTCTCCTTGTCCGAGCTGACTGACTGTTGTCAGGAGCAAGGGAGATGGTGCCTAGAACTAGATCATCTCCCACCTTTCAGAAAGTGGTAGACTGTTAGCAGAATTCATCTTGTTGGCAGTGTATTCAGTGTTCATATAATCAGAACTGGTAGCTGGAATTTTCCCTAAAGCATGATCCACACATGGAAATATGTTCCTAGGTACAAAGTATGCTTGCTGGATAGGGCATATATGTTTAACTATGGAGGTAGACTAGCCAGTTTAACAGTGGGTGCAGTATAGTGATGTCAAAGTGTAGGATGTGTTAATCATCAGAATCCCAACAGACATGCCCAGAGGGCAGAATAAAAATGGAGTCAGCTGTGTATGAGCATATGAGCATATCAGTCCTAGAAGTTTTCATTTCTACCATTGACAAGTCTTTTGTAATGTTAATTTAAGTAAATCCCATTCAAGATCAAGCTGCCCTCAAATTATTTCCTTGTGTATGGGGGGGCTTAAGGGGTGTAGTTCAGTGGTCCTCAACTTGGGCCTCCAAGCTTGGGGACCAGTGAACTATATCTGTCATCCAGATGTTCTTGGATGTCAACTCCCAGAAATCCTAGCCAGCAGAGGTGGTGGTGAAGACTTCTGGGAGTTGTAGTCCAAGAACATGTGGACGCCCAAGCGTGGGGACCACTAGTATAGTTGGTAGAATGTACAAGGACTCAAGAGACATGGGTTCAATTCCCCACCTCTGTCATGGAAACTCATTGGGGGTATTGGAACTGGTTACACCATCCACTTACTTTGAAAACCCTATTCCAGTCTACACCACCCACTTACTTTGAAAACCCTATTCCAGTCACTATGTCAGTTCTGACTTGATGACCCATAACAAGACATTCTCATAATGATATATCATTGGTAGAGGGTGGGCTATTTTTATCCAGCTGTGCATCCAGTCATTCATGTGGATTTCTAATGTTCCCTTTACTTGTTCCTTTTCATGGAATGTAACAACTCCATGGGCAAAGTGCTACACACAGTGGAGCTTTCTGCTCATGCAAAAGGTTGCTGGGTCCCTCCTTGCACAAGACCAGGAAGGAAATGTGTATGGTAACAGGATATTAGCCTTAATAGGTAGGCTAGTGCTACATGCAGTGGAGCTTTCTGCTCATGCAAGAGGTTGCTGGATCCCTCCTTGCACAAGACAACCAGGAAGGAAATGTGTATGATAACAGGATATTAGCCTTAATAGGTAGGCTGAAAACGTGGGGAAAGATATTTCCCTAGCTCTCTTCTTCATATGAAGAATGACTATGTGAAGAACAGAGCCTCCTCTGCCTGTTAAGCCTTTGCAGTGGAGCTTTCTGCTCATGCAAGAGGTTGCTGGATCCCTCCTTGCACAAGACAACCAGGAAGGAAATGTGTATGATAACAGGATATTAGCCTTAATAGGTAGGCTGAAAACGTGGGGAAAGATATTTCCCTAGCTCTCTTCTTCATATGAAGAATGACTATGTGAAGAACAGAGCCTCCTCTGCCTGTTAAGCCTTTCCATGTCGCGGATCATGTGGAGAGCTCCCATGGGCAGAGAAGGCTCACCTCTTCACAACATCATTCTTAATGTAAGGAGAGTGGCAGTGGAGAAGACAGGGTGAGCTCACTTTTCTCCTTACATAGAATGACTGCATAGGTCGAACATTACACATCTTTGGTGGTTTGGTTAAAGCATTAAATTCCTAAAAGAAAACAAACACACAAAAATAACCCTATTGAAACAAGTGTGTAACTCATAAAATTGTATTTGAAAAATAGCATCGATATCTAATCAGTATAAAATCAAACTTTAGGGTTTCAGACTTAGAATTACATAGTAATGCTAGTTTATTTGTTGTTTAGTTATTAAGCCGTGTCCGACGATCTACTGCTTGCTAGTTTATTTGTTGTTTAGTCATTTAGTCGTGTCCGACTCTTCGTGACCCCATGGACCACAGCACGCCAGGCCCTCCTGTCTTCCACTGCCTCCCGGAGTTGGGTCAACGTCATGTTGGTAGTTTATTACTAGATAGCAAAAGGATTTGCAAAGTGTATGCATTGCTGATTAGTCAAAGCAAACGTCATGTTTTACTATTATGTAAACCTAACTTGTGGGGGGAGGTAGTCAGTAATGCCATTGGGAATGTGATGAAATCCAGATGTTTCCTTTCATAGGCCTTCCCCTTTTCCTCCCACAAAGTTACAGAAGGTGCCATGGGAGCTGGGGAGTGGTCACAGGAACTTACTGGACCTGAGCTTAAAGGGAGGGCCCCAGGAGAGGTGGGCCAAAACCTGAATCATTTAGTTATTGCAGTAGTGCTATAACTACAAGGTGATAAAGGATCTATGTCTAGAACCATATGAAGTTTTACTTGAAGATTGACCCAACTCTGAAAGGCAAGGGAAACTCTAATTTAGGTAAAATAGATACTTAAACATTCTCTTTTACATTTGAAATGTTTTGTTCAGACCCAGTGTCGTTAGCCAAGGCATTGGACAAGAGATTAGATTGGAATTCAAGGGTGTTCTAACATTTCCCAATAAATACTTTAGAACCATGTAAAATGATTTTTGGGGTTGATATTGTTCAAGTATTATATTATTTTTTCAGAGCATCAGGATAGTTAAAATATCTAATAAGGTAGGGCTTCTGTCCATAGGAGATCTTGAAGCACTTTCAACCAAACACATATGTAGGCTTCTCTGTACTCTATCAAATTAATCACATGAAAGTCTGCATGACTTTTGGATATGGCAGTGGAACAGAAGGTGGTGCTTACACATGTCCTCACATTCTTACATCCCATGGAAACCTCCCCATAATTTTATGCCTAACAAATAGGGCTTTAGTTATATTTAGAAATCAAAGGGACACCCAGTATTGCAGATGGAGATGTCCTTAGATGCTTTGAATCCTGATGTGTACCTTGCCTAGACAGAGAACATCTGCAGCCTGTTGACACAGTTCTAGTACGGAAGCCAGACATATTTGGGCTTGTGAGCTTCCAGCTTGGAAGACCATTTTGGAATAGTATTTAAATCATTTCAGTATCCAGGTAAAAGTTTTCAGATACGCCTGAGGCCTTTGACAGCTGCTCTCAGACAAAGTACACAATATTGGGCTGAATGGATCAAAGATATAATAACAGCAGTATATGTTAAAAGTCAGAACTACATCCAGGTCTGCATAACTAATTCAAACTGGGACTTCTACAGAAGAAAGCCTTCTTCCATCTGTGCATACTGCTTACTGGATTTCCACAGGGTAGTGACTTTAGATGTATTTTAGCCCCAAACTACCTAGAATTCACCCTGATGTAGCCTTAAATGAAGACCTAAAGCCCACTTCTTCCCATCAGTTATTTCATTCATGGCTGACTTTTTTTCTGGAACTCTGCATCCTAGGAACTTTTCTCTATTAGAAAGTTGCTTCTTGTCATGTTACATTTCTTCTGATGCGTATGATGTTCTCTTTTGCCATTTAAAGCACCCTGGGGAACTAGTATTCCACCATTTTTGTGATTTCTAAAACTGCCTGTGTGTTAGCCTTTAAGTGCCTCTTGGTAACAAGATTAATAAAACACTGGGTTACTTGTAAGTCAAATCAGGTGGAAAACATTTCAAGTAAAGATTGTGGTATTTAATATGTAAGTGCTAATGGTACATAGCCCTTAGTCTACATGATGAATGTTCTCAGAGACTTTAAATCCAAAAGTTAGAGGTGTGGTGGTTGGAAGTGGGGGCAGGGAAAGCACATTTATCGGAATCCTTTATTTTCCCCAGCTATCTCATTTTATACTAAGGTACTGAATGTATTTTACAAACTTTAGATTATGAAATGATTAGTAGATAGTTGCCATATTGCTATTTGTCTGGGGAGAAATAACCAATTTGCTGTAAGAATTTGCAGTTTCTTGCTGCCAAGAAGGATATGAAATGTAACACAGATAACATTGTGGAATGTTTTAAGGTTACAATTATATGTCTGTGATTATATTTTTCCCTTGTTTGCTTTTAAAGATTTGGGATATGCACAGAGTAGAGATGAGCTGCAAGAAACTGCTTGATTGCATGTTCCACTGAAGACAAAGAACAAGAGCTTGATCTGAGAGGACTTGTCATATTGATCCTGCAGCCAAAGTCACTTGGGAAGACAAACGGCAGTGGAGAACTATGATCATACAGCAAGTCTTATTGCTGGTGCTTCTCTGGGTGTGCCTGCTACACCCTAGTTTGACAGCAATGGTGTTCACCAGAACTTCAGACTATCAGCCCAAAGGTTTTGTGGAACGTGGAGTGGGGAATGATGGAAAAGTTCTTCACCGCCAGAAACGAGGCTGGATGTGGAACCAGTTTTTCTTGCTGGAGGAATATACTGGTTCAGATTACCAATATGTAGGCAAGGTAAGTTTCCTATGTTCTTTTTCTTGTTAATCCCCTGCGTTGCAGTGATTTAATTTTAAGAAATTAATATTGAGGACAAGAGTCCCAAAAGTACACAGACATGTTATTTTGTAGTTTTATTTTTAAATAGTCCACAAATGTTGGAAACATGAGTAACAGATTCAAACATAAATGTTCTTGTGTGAACAAAATAGTAAAAAAAGAAAGACAAGGTCTGGTAGCACCTTTAAGATTGACATATTTAGTTTAGCAGAAACTTTCATAATTTACAATCCAATTTTGCAGATGTATTTGGGGAAGTAAATTTTAATCTGTGAAAACTCACATTGAAATAAATCTGTTAGTCTTAAAGGTGCCACAAGGCTCTTTGTCTCTTTTGTCAAGCTGGGAAAGATTAGCTTGATTGCCTGTTTCAAAATCCAAAGAATAATGTTTTAATTGCATTTCTTCATTCATTGAAAACATCGATTTCTGTTTGTTTGCTTGTTTGTGAATCCATCCAATTAGGTGTTTTATAAAATGCCATATAATTATGGCAGGTATGTCCTTAGAACTTCCTCTTCTGTTGTTTCATCTTTTATCAGTGCCTCTGTTTCTGACGAGACAGTCCCCCTCACTAATGTACCTGATGAGAAAATAATGTTGCCGTGAAATGACAAAGGGATTTGTGATTTCACGAATGGAAGAGTGTTATGTTGTGTCAAAACATGAATGAGAAAGGACAATGCTCTGTTCTAGTTACTTCTTGGCTTGATACCTTTTTGGGACTGTGGAGCCTCTGAGGAAGGCAGGGCACCTCCGTGCTGGCGCGGGCAAGCGTGCGCTCTTGGGCGCATGTGCGAAGTGGTGGGAGAGTGTGTGCGTGCGTGCCAGCGCAAGCACTCCCCCACCCCTTCGTGCACATGCAGGAGCACCTGTGTGCCTGCATGCATGAAGGGGTGGGGGAGTGCTCACACTGGCACATGCAAACAAAGCAGCTGTGGGGAGGGGAGTGCATGGGGGGCAGGAGGTCTGTCTCCACAGCCCATTCCGGCTCAGGCCACGTACCGACACTGGGCCGCGGACTGGGGTTTGACAACCTCTGCTCTAGAATCACAGTTCCATGCATGTTTACTCAAAAACTAAATGGATCAGATTTCTGGAGAACCTATTTCTAAGTAGAGGATACTTAGGAATATTTTCTTAGCTATTATTTATTATTTTATCACAAATCTGTATGCAGTGACAAATCTGTAGACATTTCAGTGATTCACCACTACAAAAGCACATATGATGTAAATAATTAATTTGACTATAAATTGAAAAAAAATCAGTTTGGAAGTTGATTCCATCATTCCCATATCTTGTCACAGTGCAAACATTACTTACAGGAGTCCTTGGGATGAAATTCCTGGCAAGGTTATCAGGAGTTTCTCACTGAGCAGTTTGTAAATGGTGGCAATGTGTTCCTCTGCAGTGAACAGCTCAGAAGAAAAAATATATATGTGGGGTATAAATACTAAACATATTCTTAATTAAAGCAGGGCAGCAGTATCACTGAATGGTGTCATCTGAATTGTGTGCTCAGCACTCCAGTATATTCTATGATGTGCTTTGGAACCTGTGCCAGACACACAAGGATTCCATATGAAACAACATGAAAAAGAGTCTTTTCAGGCAGTAAATTAGAAAAGAGGAGAGTGATATGGACAGACCTGCAGCTTATATCATTTGTAATCCTGTTAAAGTTTCTCCTTTCCTTTTTGGAGGGCATTCAGATACCTGGAGAAGGAGCAGGGTGTAGTTCTGATTGTTCTTGCTCTCCTCCTGATTGCATTGCCCCCACCCCAACACACACACACACACACACACACACACACACACACACACACACACACACACAGAGGGTATTGCCTTTCCTGTAAGGCAAATTCATGAGACAGTTCACACTGGAAAATCTGTTGGAAATCATTTAAACGCAGATGGGAGCCTTCTGCACAATGCCCCTCCACCTCACTTTTGAGAATGCTCTCTTGGTGTTCAAGAGATACCAAATGTCATACTTTAATGTAGTAATAATCATGTTCCGACTTATGGTGAATATTTTCAGAGTCTTCCAATTAGAGAATACTCAGAAGTGGCTTACCATTTGTTCTTCTAGGGGTGTCCTGGGACTGTGTGGCTTACCCAAGGCCACACAGGTTGGCTCTTGTCGCTCTAGGCACAGTGGGGAATTGAACTTCCAATCTCTGGCTCCATAGCCAGATACCTGCTGTAAATCCCTGAGCTATCCAATCAGCTTCCATGCTTTAGGAAGCAGTTAAAGACCTATTCTTCTAGGGTATTTCCAAAGTACTGGTTATGCCCAGTTTGTGTTTTGACCTTCTGTTAACAAGTATTTAAATTAGTTATTGGTCCGCTTAAATAAAATATTAGTCCTATTTAGTCTAGGTAATGGTAAAGGTTCCCCTTGACATTTAGTCCAGTTGTGTCCAACTCTAGGGCACGGTGCTCATCCCCATTTCCAAGCCATAGAGCCAGTGTTTGTCCGAATACATGGTTCTATTTAATCTAGAACCATTCAAATGAGTCCTTTCTAGTTATGATCAATGTTGGATTTAGCACAATATTTTGTATTACATTTTAAGATATTTCAAATGGACAGTGGTGTGTACACTATTCTGATATATTGTTAGGTATTGTAAACATTATAGAAATTGATTTAATAATAATGACAATTATTATACTAGATGTGCTCTCTCTCTCTCTCCCCCCCCCCCAGGAAGTAAATACAGAATATTTATGACCTTATAAAATATCCCTTTACACATAAAATAAAAAAATGTTCCAGGGAGAAAACTTTTTTTAACTTTTTGTCTGAAAACATGCCCCACCTACATTCAAATCCTATTCATATTATCCCATCTTCATTGGCAGCTAATAGGGTTGTCAGATATCAAGACACCAGGAAATTCCCGTGCTTCTCTAGGACTCTAGGTGGGGAGATACGTCCCAGCCTGAGTATCAGTGAAAAAGAAGATGTTTTGATGGTGTTACTGTGAGGTGGCTTTAGTGTGTAGGCACCCATCTGTAGCTATTCTGAAAGAGTGCCATAATTCAGTGGCTCAGTGTGAAGATGTATATGTGTGAGTTGTTCAAACTGGTGTGATGGGCCCAAATGTATATACCTACTATCTTGCACATTCCCCTCAGTGACATCAAAATATTCCTCCTCTCCCTTCCACACCCGATCTCCGGTTTTGGCCCTTAAATCTCTGGGAATGGGATGCTGCTCACCTGACTGGGTAAAGAAGTGTAGATATTCTCATTTTAACATAGCATGTCTGTTAAATAGGCCCATCTGTATTAACTTCAAAATCAGAATTAATTATTACTGTTGGCTATCAGAAATCATTGTTTAGTGTGCTCTGCATGAGCCTGGAAGATCAAGCGTTTTCTTCCTCTGTCATCTTCCTTCACAATCAGGAGGAAGACATCAGTATGTTCACTTCTATTTTCATTGAGTTTTGACTTGATATTTTATATGATCCATATTTAATATGAGCCAGGCTAGGGGTCATGGTTTGGGGCTTGAAAAAAATTAACTTCTGAAACTAGGGTTTGAATCTAATCAGAATTTGTTACAAAATGAAATTTCCTGGTTTGCACAGTGTGACAAGCTGATATGAAGAATACTGAAAATATACATTGCTGAAAAGGTGGGAAGAAGAGAGGGGCACACAAAGCATCACTCACACTAACTTGTGCACATGTCACCAAACCATGGTATTGCGTGATCTGTAAAATAAGATTGTGTGTGTGTGTGTGTGTGTGTGTGTGTGTGTGTGTGTGTGTGTGTGTAAATCAGGTGACTAGACTACAGAACAGCTTAAACCGCCGAAGAAGTTGCTTTCACAAACAGTACTAGATTTATAGCCTTAACCTGTGAGGGTTTTCTCAGTCTTTCTTTTTCAGACTCTACTCAAGAATACATAAGAATAATGTGTATATTTTTGAGAGCACTATATGGCATCCAAAGTTTAACACAGCCTCAGGCTTCCACATGCCTTAATTGGGCTGGGTTCACAGATGTACACTTACATTAGTGTGCTTTTGCCACATTAGCAACTTATCTGGAGCCATTCAAGGTTAACCAGATAGCTTTATATTCCTGTGCAAATTTTCTAGTTGAGGTTATTCAAGTGCATTCAGGCTCTGCCATTTGAAACAGAAGATCTCCTCCTCCTTGAACTGTCTCTATTATTAATGAGCATATTATTTTTGCATCTGTGAGTGGAGATTTTGTATGTTATGCTACTTGATAAGCAGTGGTTTCTCTCAGATGGAACAATAAGCAAATAAATATGGATTTACAATAAGTCATAGAACAGTAGCTCTGAAAGCACTCAATTTATGCCACATTACCCTGACTAAATATCTACATTGCATTAGGTAGCCTTGCTCAAGAATAGATAGTGGAATTAATGCCATGTAATTCAGTGTTACATGTCAGAGTACATATGTTTTATTAATTCAGATAAGCCAGAAACAATAGAAAAATAATTTGGCCTTTTCTGCTAAAGAAACCCATGCAAAATCTATCTACTGAACACCATAGAATTATGCACAGCATTGGTAAAGTCAGATTGCTTTCCCCATTCCACTCACCCAGCATTTGGGACTAAAAATATGAAGCGTGTCACATCCAGCTCTGCCTGATACTCTAAATCTACAATACAACTTATGTAAAGAGGAAATTAAAACTTCTGTTTTCTGCCCCATAATACAAGAGGGATTCTGATAGGAAAAGGGAGAGGGTGGTAGCAAATTGAGTCTGTATGCAGAGGATCCCTGTTTCAATTCATGGAATCCCCAGGTCAAAGTTAATACGGTTTCTTTGAAACTGCACCAATGGGCTAACAGCTCAGCATGGTATCTGATATGTGAAAAGGGAAATGTTTCAGGAAATTTTTGATATGAATGTATCAGAATTTGTAAATTTCTTCATAGTTGTGGTACAA